GACCTAACTTAGGACCAATTGAAATTGGCAAAATTACGTAAATAGAATTTCAATTGAATTGAAAAACTCTATTCAGATAAGTTTTTGATTGCTACATTTTATTTTCTTCTACTTTTTTATTCTTCTCTTCAGCTTTTACCTATTCTTTTCTGCTTCTTCATTTCTGTTTTTTTTTTTAATGATTTTGTGATTTATTTTGATCTGTTTTTATCTGCACAATTCCCTTATTTTTCATACGATTTCTGTAAAATCTTCGAGTTCTGCAAATGAATTGTGAACAAAAGCGGCGGCGTCCGTGCACCACATAATTTATGGGATGTGTGTACGTTTGAAACACGTTTCGAGTTTCGATAGGGGAATTTATCTGCGGCGATTGGAAAACACACGGTGTTGCTTGTTGCACTTGCGTACGTGTATATATATACACGTATACACGTATGTGTTTGTGCGAGCGATACGAATTCTTCTATTATAATTTCCATAGTACTTTTCGCCCCCAATTGCGGTTTTGCGCCGCGGCCGACGCCAATTATGACCTAATTTCCGGATGTGGAAAGAACTATACTAAAACTGTAACGCAAAACAATGCAACACGCCGCCCTCTCCATAATAACGGAATTTGCGGAATGGCATGTCTGTATCGAAAATTTTCCGAGCATCCTCATCGCTCCTTCCGCAACGTGCGGATTATTTAAGCATGCCGATTCCAGAGTTATTTAGTATGCATCTTGTCGTCCTGGAAAGTCGCAAAAGTATACTCTTTGTTTCTTTGTTTTTTTTTTGCTGTTCGCTTCAACACTTTGGTATCGTAACAATGTTACATAACGAAACCGCATACAGCTGCTAATAGCAGAGAAAAAAACGTCTCAGCCGTATGGTTTAATCAGTAAAAGTGCAGTTAACATTATTTTACTGCGGCTTCGATTAGATTAAAAAACTTACCTTACGCATTGTGCTTTACAATTTCTATAGTCGAACAATGATTAAACACATTTATCAAATCTATTGTTTCAAGTCGTTATCATATAAATATTCGTATTTTATATAGAAATATACATTTGAACTACTTTATTAAGATTTCTTATCAAAATTATTTATTACATTCTACATAGAACTTGAATAAAACTCTTTACTCTATACAATTGCATTATTTTATATGAATTACTCCATATTATAAGGAAATAATTCGATGAAATATTATGCAAGATTATATAAATTAAAAAATATGCATCAAGTAAACAAATTGAACTATTTTAGAAACAATTGAACTACTTGAGAAAGCTTGTCTATGTATACTATTGATACTATGTTTTTTTTTTTATTATTCCAAGTTTGCAATAATAAATTTGCAAGGAAATAGAAATTTAAAAAAACTGTTATGTATAAGCCAGTGATTCCATAAGATTACTCACTAAATTCGAAATGAATGCCAAAGAATGTATAAAAGCCAATGTTCGTGGAAACTTGCCAACTTGAAAATATAGTTTGATTCAAAAAGACGATTTATTTAAATTGGTTAAGTTAACTTAATAAATATGCAAAAACGTTTAAAAGTTTACAAAAATACGAAAAACGTCTTCATAATCGTGAAAAAAAGGTTTTTTAAACTAAAATTGACGAAAATCTATAATATTAATTATTCATAAAAGTCAATGTTTGTGCAATTTCTTTAATTACAAAAATTTAACAAGTTAACAGGAAAATAAATATGAAAAAAAGCTGTTTTGAAGTAATGAACTACTTGTAAAACTAGTATTAAAATACCAAATCTTAGTATCTATGCATATCTTACTAGATTTACAAATTCATAAGATTAGTAAATATGGGTTTTATCACAATGTTAATTAGGTAAACGTTTGATATCGCAGCAGTAGCAACAATTTCAATTACAACAAAAATATGTGTGTGTAATATCGTGTATGCGTATGTAAACTGTGTAGTGTGCAGTGCACAAGTCTGCGATAATAATATTTATAACGAATGGGAAATGTGTGTTTTGTAAGTTTGCAGATTCTCGTAATAAAAAAAGCAATGCATACATATATTGCAAAACATAAAAAAATAGGAGGCAACCACCAACGAGTACGAACACGCATTATGAACGGCAATCGACATTAAATGTCGTACATGCAAATGTCGCGCCGGTTTCTTACCATCTCGTTTACTTTTTTTTTTATTTACATGCTGCTGCAACTGCAAATTGCTTCTCTCTTTCGGCTTCCTGAAGCAGCCAAGGAGAGCCAAACCTTCAAGTTTAATACTTAGGTCAGGATTAACGAGAATCCATCCTCTCTTTATTCATAATCTTAATCATTCTTCTGAATTAAACCTATTGTACCGATACTTTTTTTGAATTGATCATCTGCAAAATGAGAAAAAAAAAAACGATCACTTTAAGATCCTGTTTTATAATCTGTCGAGTCTTTTTCTCGCATTTTAATGGTCATTGAATAAACAGCTCCCAGTTTACTGAATATAATATAATGCAGCTTTTCTCTCTTGGACAGAAGTCTTTTTCTCGCTCTTCGCACAGTTAGAGAGTTATGTGAGCAATCCAATTATGTTCCTACTGAAAGAAACACTTAAATGCCTTGTTAAAATGTCATCGCATCTTTTTATTTATTTCTTGTTAAAAGCCTCCAACAGTTTACAAACACTTCACTTATTTTTTTGTTTGTTTATTTACGCTTCTTGCAGTGATTTTAAGCGCGTCGCGTATTCCAATGTTAGGCATAATCCTAAACAGCTGCGAGACTACAGTTGCCTACACAATATTTAAAGCCAAGATTAATCACTCGTTAAATTACTTTAATTACTTAAGTACTAAAGCCATTAGTCAACATAAAGCAGATTTTTAAATTAATTGATATTTCTCTATTATATTTTGATTTCCATTAAACTATATTTTATATATAAATGATTTTAAGAGAAAATCATTAACAATTTAAAATTTAAAAAAATTATAAGTTCGCTTTTTCTTGAATGATATATAAAGTTAATTAATTGATACGCCTCTGCTTTTTTTTATTTGATATAATATTTTGACTACTTTGAAGAGGTTCGATTCAAATTTTGAATAGAGTGCTGAGGATTAAGTTTTTTCTTTCTGAAAATCATGATTATTAACATCCCGAGACACGTCAAGTATTTAAACTCGAATAACAATAGAAGAAAGGACCAGTCACCTTCAACTAATCTCCCCTATTTCTTAATTATAATCGATGACTCACTAATCACATAATCCATATCCTATAAAAAAAAACCGTTATTTCCCATCGTTCTGTTTTATTCAATTATAGAATTCGATTTCCAACCAAATGATTGATTCAATATTTTAAGCTGCACTCGAAATTGAAAAAAGGAAAAGAAAAACGTACGAAATGCCCGAACGTTAGTCATCAACAAGTGCTTTATTTATTGTTCGAAATTGACGAGACAAGAGTGCGAAAGGAGAACGTAATTTTAGCAATGGTAATTTTAGATTTGGTCTCGTTTTTTGCATAAATCTCTATCCGATCCGCCCGAAGCGAGGATGAGAGGATGAACTCTTCAAATCCGAATTGAATTTTTATAAATGGAACCAAATGCTATTATGCAAATACATAGGACCGTGTGTTGCACAGGAAAAAAGATGCAAATTTCATTCTTGACCTCTGTTGCCAGTTGAAATCCTCGAAGGATGTAGGAAAAAGGAGGCAGACATAAATTAAATATATATTTCAACAGACTTTTTTTTTGTGTGGATCCGGGTGCACGATGAATATGATGCAAATTCGGATGAACGTCGACCATTTAATACTGATGGATTGCAGAAAAAATATCTTTTCTTGCATTTGAATTCAAGCTTTTATATAAAGTGTTTCAATCTATTATTTCATTCATGCAAACATTATACATTATTTACATTACATAAACATTTGTATGTACTTTTTTTAATCACAATTTCAAACAATATTTCTAAATAATATTAACAATTACTATTTTTCTATAATTTCTTTTTAAATAAAGTTTTTTATTTAAATAACTTTTAAGAATATATTTTTAATATTTTACAAAAGTTTTGCTTGTTATTGATTAATCTACAATTTTTAGATAGATCGTGCAATATACTTATAATCTGACATGTGTATTCAATTCTGAAGATCAATTTAGGTCTAAATTTGTATCAAGTATTGGATTTATCAAACTTCAGTTTATAGTCAGTTTTGTGAATCAACATTTCAGATCTTTTAATTACCTGTTTTAATGTAAATATTGTGAGATGAGATATAGGATCGATTATATTGAATGTATGAAGTTGTAACGATTTTGAGGGCATTGTAATGATATTTCACTTAATGCATTTAAATTATGCGTGTACGTGCGTGCGTGTGCAGTGGTGAAGTAAGGGGAAATAAAAGGAGTTTTCGAAATTGATTAAAAACGAAACCCGAATCGATTTATTTTAATGGCGATACGCAGAGGCATGTAAAGTAAATCGAGTTTAAAGCTGAAACAACCGACGGTCGTCGCATATTACGCAACGCCGCAGATTAAACAAACATTACAAACTCGGCGGAGCGAGAAATCTGCGTACAAGTATATTAAAAAAGTATAGAGCAAAAGGAAAAGCAGCAGCAGCAGCAACAACCGAGATTCCGCAAAAGAAGACAACAACAAAAAAATAGGTGTGGATTACGAGCAGACGATGGTCGGAGTATGAGTTTGTCCAGGTGACAATCCTTAATCGACACGTATAAATTGCACTACGTTTTGTACTTTTCTCGAAGAAGATAAGGCCAGTTTATGCTTGCCGATCGGATGCATTAAGGAATTCCTCCTACCGACTCTTCCGATAGTCGCTTTATGTACGGCAAAACCTATTAAAAAACACTTTTAATTTCGATATCCGAATGAAACCATTTGTCCGGTGCATCTCGAAGCACTAGTTTCCATTCCATTTCGTTGCATGTCGTACAAAACTCTTATCTCAACTCAAAATTTCTTTATTTTTTTTACAGGCTGCCAATGCAATCCGCAAGGATCGCTAATGCCCACCTGCGATATCCGCACTGGTCAATGCCGTTGCAAGAACTACTACAGAGGAAGGAAATGCGACAATTGCCAGGTTTGTAATTGCACATTCGAATATACACAGTTTTTTTTTATCATATTTATTTTTCTTTTTAGGATGGTTATTGGAACTCCTCCAAGGGTTGCGTTAAGTGCGACTGCGATCGTGAAGGTTCGAAAAGTAAGAATTGCAATCAGATCAATGGGCACTGCTTCTGCAAACCGGGCGTTCTTAGCCCCAAATGCGAGGATTGTCAGCCCCATCATTATGGATTTTCAAATCTTGGCTGCAAAGGTATAATACATTATTCAAACCATTTTATGTACGTACTAATGAAATGTTTCTTCAGCCTGTGACGTGTGTACCAAAAAGGGACATATCTGTCATCCGGAGAACGGAAGATGCGTTTGTCCACCATACAGTCATGGGGAGAGCTGCCAGATTTGCAATACAAATACTTGGGGCCATGAACCAGGAAAAGGATGCAAAGTAAGAATTTTTCTTTATAATAGTAAAATTATTCGTTAACAGCTTATTAAAAAACACATTTTTGGAATTATATTAAAATAACATTATTGAATTAATGTTGATATAAGCCAGCGTTTTCCAAACTGTGAGGCGCGCCTCCCTGGGGAGGAGTGGACTAGTATAAGGGGAGGCGCGAATATTAGTAGCAGTGAGCAATTTTCCAAATATCTGCTAAAGTATAGATACATTCCTATGCTATTATCCATATTGCTGTAATACGCGTTCAAAGTTGAAAAATGCTCGAAAAAGCAGTGTTTTACATTTCATTGATTTAC